AAACCTTCAGCAGATCGAAGCCACAAGAAGCCGGAAACCGTGGCAATGGTTTGATTTGGGGAAAAATGCCAGCTTGAAGGAAGAACGCTACTTGGAGGTATCCCCTAGACTATGGGTACACACCCATTTTTCAGAGAAAAACAACGGGCTCACTCTCTTAGCAGCTTTGGGCTCTGCTCCAACATGAGTGGCTCGTCGCCGTCGCCGCCCATGTCCCTAACCAGCTACTGCATCCGCTTTGTTCCCTTTGAACCAACCCTTCAAGCCACACCGACCCCCATAAAGCCCACCCAAAAAAAGCCACCCTCAAAACTGCCAACCTCAAAAAATAGCAATCACCCATTTCCCATACCCTCCAAGGGCCGTTTGCATGGCCCACCACGAGAAAACCCCGGCGAAAAACCGTGGATCCAGGGCGCTTGAAGCTCTTCCCGGGCTCGGCCCAGGTCTTGTCGGACTCGTAGAGGTGGACCTTGTCCTGAGCTGTTGGATCGGTTTGGGGCAGTTGGGCCTTGAGCTTTTGCTCCAACAACAGGGGACCCCCTAAGCTCCAGCTCCAACAAAAAAAGGACCCTAAGCTCCCGCTCCGGCTCACCAAGACATCCGAGTGTGAACATCTGCTCAAGGCATGGGATGGCTAAGAACCCAAAAGATGCCACTGGGGTCCAGGGAACTCGGCTTGAGAAGCAAACCCCAAACCCGAAACCCTTATCCCAACTAAGGCCCTTGTCTAACCCTACCCCCACGAAAGCCACTTAAACCTCTGCGAACAAATTGACATTTAGAACGCAAACACTTCATAAACACCGCAAGGTACATGACCTCCTATCCACGCCCTCTCAGCCCTCCCCTTTCAAACCTCATAGAACTCTTCTAACATCCAACTCCCTAACCCCATATCATCCTCCCTTCAACCACCCTGAGCACCCTTCCCTATCACAACCTTCAAACTAGACAAGCAAACACCATCTAAAAGCCCAACCCTCTCAAATTCTCAAACCCCCGCAACACATAGCTATGGGTCAAAATCCAAATCGTACCCCCCAGTGAACATCCCAATACCAACTAAAATAGGTTCTAAAATGGGTGTTGACCACCTACCCCAAAATGGGATCCCAAAACGGTTTTGACTCCAACCCCCAGCCACCCGTAGCTCCAGGCGCCACCCGCGTGACGAAGGTGCCCTTGGGGCCCACCACCAGCATGGAGTTCACCAGGCGCCGGCGGTAGCTCAGCGGCAGCCCGCAGCACACCACGCAGCGCAGCATCTTCGCCACCTCCTGACTCCACCCGAATCCAGCGACCCGAATCCCGCGACCCGAGTCGACCCGGGGCGAGCCCCAAACATGGCGCTCATCGAAGATACGGCTTCTGGTGGGCTCCCAGCAAAAAAAAGAGAGGGTACATTGGGAAAAGAAAGGGAAAAAGAAGAAAAGAACGACAGACTTCTCGACATGGGAAGTTCGGACTTTGGGCTGCTAGGCGTCTCAATACCAGAATGGGGGAATGCAATGGGGACAAACTGGGGAAATGATAACTGGGAAACCTCGAAGCAATGGAACATGGACGCCGGATGAAATGTGTGAAACCCAGACCTGCGGCAAAAGTAATTACATGTGAATCAAAATGGGGAAACTTTGGCAATGCGAAACGAAATGGGAACCGTTCACCTTTGGCAAATCATCTGTCTGATCTGAGTATCAGATCCCTCGCAAACGCGAGATGTGGCCATGGGTCAAAATCCCGTAGCCCCAGTGAACATCCCAATTCCCACTAAAATAGACTAAAATGGGTGGTGCAACTACCCCAAAATGGTACCATTGGTTTTGACCCGCAGCCATGTGTCCAACAGAAGATTGGCGGCAGAAGACCCGCCTTTGCTGGCCCTATTTTCGGCGTGTTTCCATCCACTGTCGCCATGAACAGGCAGCACGTGGAGAAGCGAAGCTGCAAAAAACAAGCTGCCCCCAACCTGCACCAAGTTCAGGGTTGGTCCAAGCAGCAAAATTGGTTTCAGGAAAACCCAAAAACCTAGGGTCTCATCCTTTGGATCCTAAAGTTTACGCTGGGTGACCTTGCAAACCTCTAAGGCCTGCGAAAGCAAGCAACTTATCAGCGGTTTTGGCCTTCGGAACTTTCTCTTTTTGATTTTACAGGGCCCTCCCTTCCTCGAGTTGAAAGAGTGGGGCCCTGGTTTCTTTTTGCCCAGTATTTGCCGCGTCGTGTTTGTGGTCCGTAAAACAAGGCCCTCAGAAAAGACGGAGAAAAAAACCGAAGGGAGAAAAAACGACAGCAACCAACGCCGGGCTCCCTCTCACTCCTTGCACCACTGGCTGGTGGGCCCCTTAGAGGTCTCCACCACCTCGCTGATGTGCTCCTTGCTCCTGTCCCGGGTGGAGGTAACTCACAGAGGGGATGGGGCGTTTCGAGATGGTAGACCCTTTTTGGATGAGTCAAAAGGAACCCGCCCATGTTTCGGGCCCCCTTTAATTTGAGAATCTGCTGGGTAAGGCAGCATTCAAGGGGCATAGCTTTCCAGCTTGGGAACACGGTAACCCAACTGTCTGTACTAAACATTCTAACATGTCTTTGCTAGCATGCCATCAACAGCTCTTCCACTTTGTTTGGATGTTCTAGGAAGCTGTGGAGCCCACCTAATCAGAGGGCACCAAACCATCTTCTCAGGCCCATTAAAAGTCCTTTTTGATTCTTGCCGGGGCTGCAAACAGTCCCAACTTGGTCCGTTCAAAGGGAAAAGCACCCCGCCGACTTGTGCCGACCCCGGGTCCCTCTAGTTCCCTGTTACATCTATATACAAATATATATATATATATGACCAGCTAGCAAGAAACTGAACTTCAGCTGGCGACCCAAACCTGATGCCCAACTCGGATCGCGCGGTCCTTTGGCGCAGACCCCGTGGCCATTTCCCAAAGCAGAGCAAAATCAGAAACCTCCAGAAAAGCAATGAAGTGAACATGGGGCCCAGAAGCTTACCTCCGCGCGCGGCTGAAGGCTGTTGAGGTTGCTGAAGGAAACTCTCTTTTTTCAGCAACCCATCCCTGGCCCTCCCCAAACCAGAGTTTGCCCCTGACCAAAAAATATACCTCTTGGAGATTGAACAAGCAGTTCAATGCCCAAAACAGTTGAGGGGCTTTCCGGATCCACCAGAGACCCAGGTACGCTCTCTCGATGTCTCGAGACTGCCAGCCGGTAGTTTTCGTGAAGCTTCCAGCTAGGGTGGCTTCCGCAAACGGCACGTGCCACAACAAACACCAGCAAAAACACAAGTCCTCAAAATGAACATGTTGGGGTGTTCTCAAAATGATCTGGGCGGTTCAACCCCGTTCAACCACCACCTAAAGGGCTGCAATTCTTCGGAGAGCTGCAGCTCTCCGCTCTCCTCCAGTGGTAGCCCGTGAAGGCCATCTCCGGCAACACGAGGAGGTGCACGCCCTGCAGCTCCTTCTGCCTTCTCTCCAGCATCTCCCGCGCCCTCGCACGGTTCTCCTTGGAGAGAGATGTGGCGTCGTAGCGTTCGGGTACTCAAAACTGGTACCACGGGGATCCAGCAGGCTCCATGTGTTTTCACTTGAAAGCAGGGGCCTAGGTGGAGGATAAATTTTGTCCAAGCCTGGTTGGGGGTTGGGACCCTGGCTTGCTTGGATTGGGCATTGGGGATTTGGCCTGAGGGCTGAGGGGTTTTGGGGGTGAGTGTTTGGGATTGGACACAATTGGCTTAGACGAGGATGTGCCTGGCTGGCGTCGTCTGCTTGTTTTCCTTGTGCAGGTTGGGGTGAGAGGAGGGGGGCAGGGCTGGAGGCATGCGAGTTGCTCATGAAAACTCACAAGAAGGAGGGCGTTCACAGATGCCCGGAGGTACCACCTCAGTACCAAAACCATCATCAGCGCAAAAGGTGGTGGAGGGACAAAGTCCAAGGATGCACGAAGGACAGGCCTTGATTGTGCTGTGTGCTCTAGCGTACGCTTATCAGAAAGGATCAGGATATAACTTCCGGTGAACTAAAATTATTACATAGGCAAGTCGAACATAGCCAATGCAAATGGTCACAAGCCACCTCCGATGCGATTTGAAACCTGAAATGCGCGGGCTTCAGGATCTACCGACACACCTTGAAGCCTGAGTCACAATCAAGGCTTGATACCAAGGGAGTCTACACACACCATATGAAGAAACAAAGTGCCGCCACACCTATCTTATGGTTGCGACTGCTTGCTTAACTTCAACTACCTGCCCACCTGAAAACAAAGGCCACAGCTCATCACCTTTAGGCGCCGAACTCCAACGCATTTGCTCCACAATTGCGAACATTTCGCACTCCGAAGCAGGCCATGCCGCGAGAACTTGTTGAATCAAGGCGGCAGTTGAAGCAACGCCCCCGAAAGGGGTGCTCTGCCCAAACAAGGCTGAAGCTTGAGTGTTGCCTGACCAACCGACGCCAAATACCATACCTTGTTGGATCTACCGACGGGGTTGCAACACTTGCATTGTTGGCATTTGTGCATGTGTATACATGTGTATGTGTATATATATATATATGTATATATATATATATATGTTAAATACATGCATGACCGTATATGTGGCTGGATTCCGGCAACCTGTCGAATATGCGCCGAAATGGCTGAATGTGTCCCTACCAATTTCCAGCACGCCATTTCAATGCGGTGTTTCCCCAAATTGGGGGGGAGGGTGCCTTCCCTCGCCTTTCGGTTGACTAAGCCGCCCCCAAGAAACAGAAGAATATGTCCAGTGATAGATTCCCTCTAAAAACCACTCTTAAGCAAATGGATGCTGGCGCCCTTTTCTACTTGGCCATTCTAGCTTCTGGGTGTCGGTTGCACCCTCTCTGCTGCCAGGTGGCTGCCACCTTGCCGTGGACGGGGTTCACTTGCAAGCAGGCGACCCGCAGGCACATGGCCCAAATCGCCCATGGCCCAAATCGCCCACCGAGTGGTGGAAATCTGGCTTGGCGCCTGTTTGCTGGGCTTCCTTCTGTCTTGCCTCCTTGTAGCTTCCTTGTAGCTTCCTTGTGGTTTCCTTCTGGGCAAACAGAGCGGGTCCTCCTTGTCCTGGTTCTGTTGGTCTTTCTTGCGCTGTCCCTCCAAAGGGAGCTCTGCTAGGGGAGGCTGGGCTGGGATGCAGGGGACGGGGATAAAACGTTCACCTCCGATGCTAAGGTCTTGACTAACCCAAGATCTCCTGCGAATTCTGGGGACAGGTGAAAAGGCAAGGTGTGTGCCGTATGCTTCCGCTCGTGAGTGCTCTTCACTCTGGGACATGGCAGGCGTTTGCCACTTGGCATAAATTGACTGGCGGGTGGCAAAGGCCGCGACAACAAGCTTCGGTGACGACCGCAAATTCGGTATCCTGACCTCACATCTTTGGACGCTCCTTCAACCCAACTCCAATCAACCACCAAGTCCAACCCCCGTTCCAAGCCCAATTCCAAGCCCAATTCCAAGCCCAATTCCAAGCCCAATTCCAAGCCCAATTCCAAGCCCATTCTCAACCATCTCCGACCATTCGTTGGGGTTTCCCCCATTTCGACACATTCCCAGCATTCCCAACCAAGGCCTCCCCCGCCGCCTGATGGCTGTGCCCCAAGATGTCGAAGCTCCCGGGCCAGCGGCCTTTCGGATGCGACATACATCTTGGTGAAGCCAAGCAACTTTTGGACGTGGCTATCAACTTCCATGGTTCCCTCACAAATGGACAGGTGTCCCTTTGGCGCAAACGATCTGAAGCCGCTCCTGCAAGCTTGGGATCGGCTTCTTTCCAACCCTAACCTGTCCAGTAAGCAGGGGGGGGGGGGGGGGGAATGAGAATTGGCAAGGAAATCTTGACCAAAGCAAACACATATTTCGCCAATCACCGAGTGCCTGGCCCAGTAGCTCCCTGCAAAAAGCAAGGCAAGACTGCTTGGGGCCAAAGGGCCAGCAAGGCGCGGGTGCCCCGAAATTGAACCAAGGATGATCACCATCGCAAGGCAACCAAATCTGTACCTAGTGGCTTGTCAAATCGCTGTCCCAAATTCCAAAAATCCTGTCTGCCGCTTTCGGGGCAAAATTGCCCACCCCTTCCGATCGGGCGCCTCAAACCAAAAATTGGAGGTCCGATTCTCCGCTTTTCCGGACCTTCGTTGGCTCGGTCCTTCCCAGGTCCCAGGCATTCTGGCCACCGGCGCACGTAGAACCAGGCCCTCGGACTCAAGGCTCGTGCAGAGCGTTCTGTTGGTTTATGGCTGAAAATGGTCACCTTGGGGCCAAGGGAAAATAAGGAGAAACAAATAGGAAGTTGCGAAGATCCGCCATCCATCACCCACTTTGTCTCTCTCTCTCTCTCTCTCTCTCTCTCTCTCTCTCTCTCCTAGAGGAAACATGAGTGTAGCACCCATTCAGCGAGAGACCAAAGTGGGAAGGAAAGCTGGCCTCGACAGCCAGAGCTCAGGCCACCTTTGGGGCTGCGTGGAGCTGTGGTGGAATAGGAAGGGCCACACCACAAGCGGACTGAACAGAATACAACACGGTGCCATTACCGTATCCTCAGGCTTTGCCATCAGCTGTGCCCACCCACCAACCCTTCCCACCCTTCCCACCGACCCAACCCACCCACCCACCACACCCACCACACCCAACCACCCTCGTGCGCGAGTGCATGCATGCGTGCGTGCATGCGTGCGCGGCCTGCACGCGGCGCACACCCAAAGCCACTGCATCTCCGGCATCCCCCCCTAGCCCCGCAAAACCCGGGAAAATGCACAAAAGCCGGTATTTGTGATGTGTGCCGCGTTGTGGCACCAGCCCCGCTTTCGCAGAAACCCGCTCACTTGATCGCAAACATGCCCGCTACAGGCAAACGACAAAGTCATGCCTAAGTCGCTCCTTTGTCTGTGTGGCCATGTGTTCCCCCATGTAAACGCCGATTCCAAGAAGTCACTCCTAAGTCATGCCTCGGCAACAATCCCCATGGAACGCTTGACATCACCGAGCTGATCATGCTACAAGAAGACTGGTGTCAACACTGAAACACAATGGAACGCTACTGATGGCAAATCATGTTTTCCAGCCCCGCAAGGCGTCTGCAGGAGCATGACAACCAATGGAACGCCAAGCATGCGATGTTGTTGCAGGAGAGTTTAGGAAGACATGACACAATGGGTGGGCGTTGCCGGCTCTTGCGCCGTGTTTTTCCACATCCTGGAGTTCTTTCTGTGGAAGGCAGGCAGGCACATACGCAATGCACCCTGGCAAAAAAACGAGATCAAAACGAGATCAAAAAGAGATCACCGATCGTCCGTTGACACTCACTTCTGCACCCGCTCCCATCAACTCACTTCCGCGCCCACTTTCCGACTCAATTCCGCACCTGCGAACGCCAGCCGCTCAAGCGCGCCTGCTCAGCCCTGCGCACACACGCCAGCCAAATGGTAAGCACCCCCGCTCAAGCACACCGGCTCAGCGCTGCACAGACGCCAGCCAAATAGTAAGCACCCCCGCTCAAGCATCCCCGCGAGCTCAGCCCTGCAAACACGCCAGGATAGTCCAGGTGAGAGGAAAAGCAAGGTGCCGACTCGAACCAGCTGTAGCAAAAGAGACGTCAAGTCTCAAGATTGCGATTGCGAAACACACTGTAAACGCTCCTAGGCGGATAAGATAGAACATGCCTAAACCATCCTAAATCTCACGGAATAACCATTTTCAACTGCAATGCCTCCCAAAAGCCTATCCCTTCAAACATGCAGAGTTCCTATGCGTTTTGGAAAGAGGCACGACTTCTTCGAAGCCCTCTCCCCCATGGAATTTAAGCAATGCCTCAAACAGAGGCACGACTTTGTCAAACAAATAGGAAGTTGCGAAGATCCGCCATCCATCACCCACTTTGTCTCTCTCTCTCTCTCTCTGTCTCTCTCTCTCTCTCTCTCTCTCTCTCAGAGGAAACATGAGTGTAGCACCCATTCAGCGAGAGACCAAAGTGGGAAGGAAAGCTGGCCTCGACAGCCAGAGCTCAGGCCACCTTTGGGGCTGCGTGGAGCTGTGGTGGAATAGGAAGGGCCACACCACAAGCGGACTGAACAGAATACAACACGGTGCCATTACCGTATCCTCAGGCTTTGCCATCAGCTGTGCCCACCCACCAACCCTTCCCACCCTTCCCACCGACCCAACCCACCCACCCACCACACCCACCACACCCAACCACCCTCGTGCGCGAGTGCATGCATGCGTGCGTGCATGCGTGCGCGGCCTGCACGCGGCGCACACCCAAAGCCACTGCATCTCCGGCATCCCCCCCCAGCCCCGCAAAACCCGGGAAAATGCCCAAAAGCCGGTATTTGTGATGTGTGCCGCGTTGTGGCACCAGCCCCGCTTTCGCAGAAACCCGCTCACTTGATCGCAAACATGCCCGCTATGTCCGGCCACCCGCCAAAACTCACTCTCAGGCCATCTTTTTTGAGGGTTGGCGCCGTGCAGGGGATGCTGGCAAGCCCGGCTGCTGGTGATGCAGGGGCATTCTGGCGACTGTCGGGGGCGATTTGCGCAATATTTGCCGTGTTTTTGTTCTCTCTTTTTTTCCTCGAAGGTTGGACAACGTGGCATCAGAAGCCCGTCGCAAGGCCAGGGATGTCGAGAATGTTTTGGGGTCCAAACGTCTAGGCTGGCCTGCGTCCGGGTGACGCAGGGGATGAGGAGGAGCTTCAGGTGCAACAAAACACATCAGCGGCACACCACGGGAGGGTTGCCCTCGCTCCTCGCGCTCGACACAGGGCAGCTGGATTCCCAAGAAAGCTCAAAGCCACCCAGCACCCAACGCACCTCACCAGAGCCCAGGAGACAGAAGGAGTTGGTTGCTTCTGACCTAAACCAGGTGGACCCCTCTCAGGCTGCGACCCCATCCCGTAGAAGCCGAACATCTGGATGAGGTAGGGGAGCACACACCCAATCTCCTTGCGTGAAATCAAGCGAAAGAGACCTTCTGAGAGGTTGCGGAACCTGGAATCTACATGACCCTTGAAACATAAGGTGAAATATTCAAATTACGGGCATATTACGCCCGCTATTTGAGGGGATGGATGTAATCTTTGGGTGTGTTGGTAACGAATGCCAACGTTCAAGGTGAAAAGCATGGAACACCGGCTCGTTGACAGGACTTTTGGAAGCTTGCCCAAGCGCCCTCAAGTGGTCCACTCATTTGCCCAAAAGAAACTCGCCACAGTGGAAGAGGCGAGCTGAACTCATTTGGGTGCGGCGAAGCTTGCGTCTCAAATTTAACAAAAAGATGCCAAAATCCAAGGTCGCAAAAAGCAGCACGGAATGCATGCCCTTGCTTGTTTCTCGGATGCCATTCCGTCAGTTGTTCAACTGCAAGTGCCAAGATGTCTTGGAACATGGTGTCCAGCTAAATCGAGCAAGTGTGCAGACGTCACCCTCAACACATCCGAAGCTTGGACTTTGCATTCTGCCCGAGGTAACATCGGGCCGGCCCATGGTGGCTACATTAGCTGTAGAAAACCCAGGGGTCACTGGATTTCCGCTTCAACTGTTCCAATTTCCTGGTGGTGTCCATTGAGACGATCGCCACTTTTGGAGGCTCCGCAGAGGAAGAGGAAACCCCGACCGGTGCCAGGAGTTCACATTGCTCCAAAACCTGCAAGCTCTAAACACCAATGCGCGGGCCCAAGCTCCCGTGCAGGCGAAAAACGGAAGTAGGTCCTTACCTGCATGGTCCTTGCAAACTCAGAAAGTAGGTTCATGACCAGAAGGAAACCCAGCGATCCCTCTTCCATCCATCATGACCTTCAACCTGAGTTGACCGCCAAAAGTGATCTTCGATTGCTGGCAAGGAGTCGCCTAAACTTCAGGGCGCAAACCCAAAAGAGCGCCTGCTGCTTCGAGCCGGTCGGTCCTATAGACATTCAAAGACCTAAACTCCAGGTAAAGAAACCCACAGGCACCTCTGAGGTGGCTACGCCCTTTT